GGAATATAAATGATGGGTACATTATCAGATATAACTGCATTAAACTAATTGAATTGCCAGTAAAAGGATTATTCGCAATAAAAATTGCCAGAGGGAAATATACTTTGAGTTGTCGTAAACAAATTAAATTGATGTGTTCTTTATTGGTTTAAATGTTATTGTATTTTACAAAATATTACGTGTTAAAAAAAATATTTGTATAAAGCGAACAATAATTTTGATATTGAAGAGGAAATGGGCCGGCCGTATATGTAGCATATGTATGTATAGTATGTGTAAGAGAAGTGTTTCCTTTTTATGGTTATTAAGAAAGGATTTTATGGTAATAAATAAGTTTACGTTAAAATCGTCAGTATAAATTATTTATTCATGTAGGAAAATTTTAGCCATTTATGCAAGTCATTATTTTGTACATAACTTTTCTTACTTCCCAGTTTAACTAAGTAACTACTTCTGTTAAGAAAAACTGACAAGAAACTTAATTGATAAATTTTTATGTTAATATTATTTTATGTAATCCGTTTCCACATTAGAAAATAATATAGCGTTCAAATAGTGTGTATCTAACATAATTAAAATATCGAAAATACCTTGTCTGGACAACTAACGCTACAAGGGCGTCTCCTAAATAATGGTTTACTGAGTAATTGGCTTTTCTCATTGCCCATCATTTGATGTCACATACAGGCTATTAACTAATGGGCATTGAAATCGTGGTGAACGAAAATGTATAATAGTTGTTGGGTCGAAAATTTGAAAGACATGACAATCATCCAAGCCCAGTATAGAGTTTTACGTATAGATTTATTTAACCAGCGCTTACAAAAGTAGACTCAAAAATATTCTATGCGATAAAATATCAAATACATAACTTTACTCAAATATTGGACGCTGTTGGTCCTAACATTGGCAGTAACAACTGCCTCACCTTGGTTCCCTCCACAATCCAAACATTTATATTTATAACTATATCTGTTTGTACTGCTTTAAGTGCTGTTTATTTATATTAAGTATGTATTTGTGTCTAATACTGGTTTGTACCCATACAACAGGCTCTGCATAGTTTAGGATTAAATGGCTGTGTTGACTGTGTGAGTGTGTACATATATATATCTATATTACCATGAGATATACCTTTAATAATACCATAAAGAGCATCATCAAAAGGAAATAGCATCGAATGTCATTTACTCGTGGCAATTTTCATTTGAACCCTATTCGATTCAATCATGTCAAAAGTCGACCTGATGAAACGAGAAATGCACAACCACGCTTACATGAACCGTAATAGGATTAATTTTAGTAACCCGGCGCTGAAAGAGTACTAGTACGTTAATATTACGTCGGCAATGTGAGAGCTCTATTAAATTCGGCTGGTTATGCAAATTGAATTCTATCATTATTCCCAGTGAAAATAGCATGTAATTATTTTACTTAGGTATATCATTACTAAAATGTTGTACGGAGATATCGAACTGCAGTGCATATTGTATTGTAAATATGAACTTTCAATGAACTCAATAAAGTCATCCTGTTAGTGCTTGTTGGACGAATGCAAAACTTACAGTATGAATTTCTTATCGTAACGAAAGCTCTCTTTGGAAAAATTTCTTTAGAAATTTCTTCTAACAAGGTTCATTCGATCTACTAAGTTAAGGTGAGGCCATGTAAGTGTCTTTATTACAAGTCGGAAAAAACCTCAGCTAGTGTGCAGTATCGTTGTATGCTTATTTTAGACCCAAAGACGCTGTAAGTATAGACGAAGTAGCAAGATTGTCAACGCTAAAAATACTGTATATTTTTAACATTGGGAATTTTGCTACTATATTAATGCGAAAAAGTAGATTTTATTACACAAATTTTACACGTCAAATAATTAGTTATGCGTCAGGTTTTCATTCGCTAATCGACTTGTAGACGAGAATTGTTTAATGTACTCACTTCTCCGCAATACAGTATCTGGGACATAACGGTTAATTACGGAGACCGAGGACACGAATCAATAGAATGCCTCAATAGGTCGAAAAACTTGTGAACCATACTACCACGTTACAAATTGCGGTATTAGGTATTGTAATTTCGTGTGAAGATTAAATACGATAATTTTTATGACAGGGAATAGCAAACCGAAGGCCCATCGTTTATTGTAGATATAAACAGCACCGATTTCATGTCGTAAAATACACCGCCATGCCCGTGTGTCACTTAATTCTCGGAAATAAAAATGCACGAGGGGTAATCATTTTAGAGAACTAAGTAAATTACTACGACTCCGAATATATAGGTTTATATCTACATTTTAGGGTGAAAGAGATTTTTATGTAATTTAAATGTCAATCAAGCTGACGCTTATATACATGGATGAACTTTATTACAGTATCATGTGATGCCAGTGTTACGGATCAAGCGTTACCATTCCGGAGAACTAAGATAACATGCCTATTATTTTAATAGAAATAAAAGTTTATAAAGCAAACTCCTTGACGGCATAGGTAGTCAGAGCTAACAATGTAGACGACTTTACAAAGTCTCTCGGTTATATGCTATATAAGCTGTACAACATACTATAAAACATTATTAAGACTTTAAAAATGCATTAATAACTTCATAAACTGATAAAATGTTTCATGTACCTAAACAATCGAAGTGAACTATTGTGTACTTTCGGACCGATTTTTCGTGGTAGGTTGGGTTCGTTGGTCGGCCCCTTTGTAATGTTTATCAGAGCACCTGTATACTAGTGTGTATGCGTATGATTCACAAACGTCTCGTTCTGTCGTATAATGACGACTTTACCATTGAATTCTGCTAATTGCTTGCCGTACGGTATCAGATGTTTATGAAGTACAACAATGAACTAAAAATGGTTTGTTCTCCGGATACTAAAAAAAATATACCTAAGTGATAAATAGTATTTCATTTCTAACTTCAATAGACATGGTATAGGAAATGATTACGAAAGAGAATTATATTGAATGCGAATGAGTGGAAATGACAGGAATCGATCTAAAAAGACTATAACGATCGAATTCGAGCTACGTCGTAAAGGGACAAAGACAAAGGGTCATGTTAACAGTACTCGTATGATTCCATGTGGACGAACCGAAAGCGATCTGTTTGACGTTCCAACCAGGTCTATTTGCCATTTCATTGTTTCTGCCAATCGGAGATGATACGTGTACCGTATTTGACGTTGGACTACTTGGCCTCGGGCTGGCTGCCACCTACTCTCAATCTCTTTTTGTATTCTATTTTTATTCCACAAATCTTTTGGGACATTTTTTTATTTATTATTTCTAATCGTTATTTCTTTTTTCCTAGTAGAATTGTTCGGTATTTTGTTTATTATCGATACTAATATACCAAATGCGAAAATATGAATGGATCTTTATGAAATTTAGTGCGAAGGTCATGAGGATATCATGAGGATGAACATGGGCATATTTACCCTCTAAAGATAAACGAAATTGCCTATTGCTGGTATATTAAATTATTGTTAATTATGCCTTTTTCTTATACCCACCGTTGGCTGGGCTACCAGCACTTATATTATATATGTACGTAAAACTAAAAGATAAGGAATTGTATTAATTCATTTACATGTTGTATAATCATCCAATATTCTTATACTTGCATTTATTATCAGTAACTTTTGAACTTTGATAACCCTTTGACCATTGTCATTACTCATAACAGTCATCAATGCAATTGTCGCATTTTATTGAAATGTTTAATTTTGTGATACTTACTTGTTTTTATTAAATTTATTACTGTGTCTTCCATATGCGACTCCTATATATATAACCCCTGGGGACCGCGTACCCTGAAATAAAAGATTACAAAAGCCTAAAGAATTTGATGGGTATTTATTTATTACGATTCAGTTTGACGTAGCCACCTGATGTAACAACGTATTTGGTATACCTACACTCATCACATACTTACATGTTATATACTAATATTACAAATTGAATGTGTGTCTGTCTCTCAGTCTCTCTTTTATCTCAGAAAAAACTGACTAAAGTTACTAAATAAATATAAGGTAAGAGAATGCACCAAAATATTCAGTGGTCAACCGAATATATTGTATTTATCATGTCCTAAATATATTGACTCCATGAGCGAGACAAATATTAGATTTCAGTGCAGCTGTACCGTAATTGATGTATAATTAATTTATGGTTGTAATTGCAGTATGCAGTATTTTGTGCATAATTATGTAGTTAAAACTAGAGATCAAGTTACTAATAAATCTACTGATAATTTTACATCTCATTAATATTTGGCTTTTGATGTATACAGATACTGTTTTACCTAATTAAGCTGTCAGTGATAGTTTAATGACTATTCATTAGATGAATAACGTTTTAGTTTGCTGTATACTTTTTATGAATCTTAAATAGGGTTTTTTAAAAACTAATTTTACCTTATGTGATTTATTCTCGACATCATGAAACTAAAATAAATGTGATTCAACCTCGAAACCAAAAGCAACGGATCTACTTAAAATATCTTGGCACCATTGTCTATATAAAATGTAGATCGAGTGTTTTCAGTAAACGTTTCTGCAAATACAGACATTTTATTTGGTGTGTGTATAGATAGGGTTACCCGAGTTAAAATTTTATTCCACTAGAGAATTAGTAGGAGAGGCTCTTTTGTAAAAGAAATTTAAATACAATGTTTTTAGTAGGATGGAGTACATCTGAACATACATTTACAACATTACATTTGAAACTTCTCCGTACTGATGTTTTAATATTTTACATACAATTTCTCTTTATTTTTGTTATAATGTATTTCTATCAAAATCGTTCTAAGTTTGTACAGAGGTGATCAAGCACAGCATACAATACAACATCAATTTATATTATTCATTGACTAAAATGAAACAACTTCGTGTCCGATTTACAAATTAAATTCTGTAATGATTTTCACGTAGGATCACAAATTATCTTCCTTTGCTTTAAATGGCTAAAATATATTCATTTTGTCAACAGCACAACGAGCAACTCGTTCTGTTTTGAGATCATGATCTCTGGGGGCGCTAACAAGCACACGCCGCGGAAGGTGGTGTTTAGCTGCACCAACGCGGCGTTGCGCAGGAGTTGGACCGATCATCTGGTCACGCACATGACTACCTTCCCAGTCAAATATACCAGTGACTTCACCAGATGCGGCTGGTGCTACCTCAAGGTTAGTGCTGATTATCTATCAACAATTATATTAGATGTACTGTTAATGCGTCATAGAGTTCAATGAGTAATATCACATTTGGAGAGTGAGTTTAGTTCGTGACATTCGTTATAATAATAGTGTATTATCATTTGTATTTAATCTTAAGTTACATCGAAGTCATGAACTATTTCAATAATATTACGGACGATGCGATAATTTTTGTTGCGTTCTGTGTTTATGCAGATATAGGTAAAATAGGCTATTATAGCGAAATTATTTTGCATAAATAAATATACTGTAACGATTATTGTGGACGAGGTAGTCAAAGGTATTGTTAATTGTCATGTGTTTCGGTTTTCCCCAATAATATTAGATTGATACTATTATATTTTATTAAGTTATTAACAATGACATGGTTACAATTATCAAACTACAGTGTGTGACAACTAGTGATGTGCCAACTTCCTTTTACGGCTAGTGACGTTCTATCTTATTGCTAGATGTCGATTAATGACAGTCATAGTGCAAAATTTAACATGTTTACATTTTGCTGGGCGTTGCACATTTGATCCGACCGTTTTAGTGTAAGTCGGCATGGTAAACCACTAGCCTACCACTATATATATATATCGACAACTAGTGATGTGCCAACTTCCTTTTACGGCTAGTGACGTTCTATCTTATTGCTAGATGTCAATTAATGACAGTCATAGTGCAAAATTTGACATGTTAACATTTTGCTGGGCGTTGCACATTTGATCCGACCGTTTTAGTGTAAGTCGGCATGGTAAACCACTAGCCTACCACTATATATATATATATATCGACAACTAGTGATGTGCCAACTTTCTTTTACAGCTAGTGACGTTCTATCTTATTGCTAGATGTCGATTAATGACAGTCATAGTGCAAAATTTGACATGTTTACATTTTGCTGGGCGTTGCACATTTGATCCGACCGTTTTAGTGTAAGTCGGCATGGTAAACCACTAGCCTACCACTATATATATATATCGACAACTAGTGATATGCCAACTTCCTTTTACGGCTAGTGACGTTCTATCTTATTGCTAGATGTCAATTAATGACAGTCATAGTGCAAAATTTGACATGTTTACATTTTGCTGGGCGTTGCACATTTGATCCGAACGTTTTAGTGTAAGTCGGCATGGTAAACCACTAGCCTACCACTATATATATATATATCGACAACTAGTGATGTGCCAACTTCCTTTTACGGCTAGTGACGTTCTATCTTATTGCTAGATGTCAATTAATGACAGTCATAGTGCAAAATTTGACATGTTTACATTTTGCTGGGCGTTGCACATTTGATCCGAACGTTTTAGTGTAAGTCGGCATGGTAAACCACTAGCCTACCACTATATATATATATATATATATATATATATCGACAACTAGTGATGTGCCAACTTCCTTTTACGGCTAGTGACGTTCTATCTTATTGCTAGATGTCGATTAATGACAGTCATAGTGCAAAATTTGACATGTTTACATTTTGCTGGGCGTTGCACATTTGATCCGACCTTTTTAGTGTAAGTCGGCATGGTAAACCACTAGCCTACCACTATATGCCTTATGGTGTTAAGTCCGCCATATGCACTTTCATTTTGTTTTATATTTGTGCATGAAGTTTTTATAAATAAATAAATAAATAAATAAATATATATATATATATTTGAACAGTACCATTGTTGAATGAAATTACAATAAACTGAAAATTCGTTTATTTACATTTAATATGTTTTTATATTCTTTTCTAGTTTAAGAGACACTGACATTAAAGTCTTTATTTTATATATTCCGTGATATTAGTATATACTTATTTAATAAAATAAAATAACAAAGTATAAAAAATCTAAAATGAAAACATCTTGACTAGTTATACGATGTCTTCGTAGTTCTCTTATAATGTTATGAAATCTATAGAGCGGCTTTGTGAAACTGCGTAACTTCCCCAAGGTACAGTGCTTGTCGGTAAATATGATACTTTCCTAACAACTGCGCGCTCCTGTTACAATGCAGTTAGAAAAGTTGACAGCTTATTAAAATTTCAATGGTTCAATGAATCTGTTGCAATAATTGTAATAAAACTTTATTAATGGCTGGCTCATCCGTCATACTCGTGAACGGGTGCTGCTTGTAGGGACCGGTCTGCTCTAATCACTATGACTGATTTCCTCTTATTAATTGTTTAACCAGTTGGTTATATACTCAATATTTTTTCTATTTGAGTATTTAATTGAATTAGTGCTAATTGGTGGTTTGAATTACACTTAAACTTCAAAATGTAAAGTAATAATAAAATTATTTAAAAGAGCAACACGCAAGTTTCTTGCTCGTTCTTCTTGTGATGAGACAGCTTTCCGAACGTGCGGTAGATTAAAAAATGTAATGACTATTCAAAAGTGCTTCAATGTAAGTTTATTTGAATAAATGATTTCTATTCTATTCTATTCTTAAGTATACAATTTTACATAAGTAAACTCTGTAAAATGTAGTCTGCGTGCGAGATACCCATCCCTGTCTACCTATTTCAGCTTCCATGCAGCTAATTTTGTAATCTATGAACTAAGGCAGAAAAATTCCCAAATACAATGCTTAATATCCCCTAGAATGGCAACACTAGAGTAGCATCACGAGCATCGTCGTACATGTATGTTGTACTCGTATATAGGCCACAGTTACGACTTACCATCAGGTACATTCCCATTACATCAATTCTACATATTGTCTACAGTTTCTTATGTATAAAATATACAAACTATAGTAATATAATTGTAAAGTTAATAATATATTATAATATTCATTATTATATTAGTTGCATATTATGCTAATGATTGTCACTCTTTTATATTAAGAAGTATAGTATAGACTACCTCAGTAGTGTACCAACATATACTGATTGCGAAGGATGAGGTAGATAATAATATTAACCCTGGACATTTTACACAGCGTCATTTAACCCCAACTAAACAGAGTTTGTGTTATGGATACAACATAGATAGCCAAGTGATACAACAATATATTTTTTATGAATACACACATGATGTATCTATACAGACAACACTCAGCCCAATACAGACAATTTTACTAATGAATGTTTGCCCGGTGCGAGGAATCGAACCCGCGACCATCGGAAGTAAGGCGGTGCTAAACCGATAGTCCACCGGTTTTAACTATATTCTCCATTTATGAGTTTCTAAAATTGGAATACAATATGTATAGAAATATTATAATTTGAATACACTAATATCCCAGAACGAATAACTTTATTAACATGAGGTAGAATAGTAATAGGTACAATGATTGCAAACTTGCAATCTACGTATACGTGTAATGCAATCAGCCCATACTGCTTTAGTTAATAAATTGATTGCAGAATGCAATACTGAAGCTGAAATACACGTATAATATATCTAATGTTACTTTGACGTTTGGGCTTTGAAGATTTGTCTATTGATCTTGTAGCATATTGTAACCAGCTCTGTCAGTATATTGGTATTTCGTGCATCAGTGAATAGTAAGATCATATAAGGTATTTGCTGTTCTACATGTATTATAGTGATGCAACCGATATTCATTATCTTTGTGCAGGATTTTGCACAGCTCTCTTATTTTGAATAGTTATATGATATAAAATGAAAAAGGTGTGTAAATAAATCCTTATAGATTTATTATAGATATAAGAACGGAGGTTATAAAAATAAAAATAAAATATAATTAATCTGTGGAACAAAATGTATCAATAATATATAAAAGTCTTTATCTACATATATTGAAAATTATAAATATGATGATTTATTCAGTGTAGGTACTTACCAATTTTGTCACGATCTGAATCAGTACCGACAAACAGATAAACGGACAAATAGGTAGTGTCATTATTTTATGATATGTACGATTATTTGAGCAAATAAATAAAATTTTCATTAATAAACACAGTACAGTAGCAAAACACTTGACTATAAACACAAAGAAAAAGAGAGAGAGTATAAAAAATCGATAACACCCCTGTAAATACCTGCGTGCCCGTCGGATGACTAGACATAGTCTAAACAGCGATATCGCTTACAGTTTTGATGTTTGTTTTACGTTGCTCTTGTATATTTGAGCTTTATTGTCCAATTAGTAATAAATAATAGATCTAGTGCAATTACTGTAACATAAAACCTAGAATTTCTGCAATACATTTTAGTTGCATCGAGTGTTTTATGTTTATCGGAATTTTTTATAACAAGTCATTAGTCTAGTCGTCCAATTAAACCAATAAGATACAGATTAACACAAAATTGGAAATTACACTGTCTATTTTCCGTGACTTTGCTTGTATCAATCGTTATTTTCGTAAAGTGTATAGTATATAGAAAATATCATAACTCTTGTGCAAAACATAACCGCAGTAGTTTTTTTTATTGGTTGATAATGTAACCGTGCACCCTACTGCGCCCATTAGTTCACATTAGTAAAACGCTCCCCTTCCCTCAACCCCAGTGGCTACTTATATCTATATAACTGCACATAACAGCCCGGCACGTCGATATTAAAATCAATATTGCAACATCTAAAGCAATATAGCTACGGTATCAGATGTATGTGTTAAGCTGGAAGTACAGAAATCGTAGAATTGTAATGCAGTTTATGACTTAGTCGAAATGTAAATTTTTAAATAGTAAAGATTTTTATACGTATGTAATATTAGTATACTTTTAAGAAATGGGTATTATAAAAATTCATCTTCCATGAGCGTTATTTCAAAACCCACAATTTCAATTTTACAACCTAATACTAATTTTAATAGTTCTAAATTATTATAAAAATTAGTTATAATAATTATAGTTGAATAAATAAGAACAATGAAGATATAAAGAATGCTTTATTCTTTTCGATTTAATAATCGACAACTTATAGGTGAGGGGCATATATAAGATAAGAAAATTTTATAACTGTAAAGTAATATTGACTTTTATTTGAAATATTTCCTGCCATCATATTGT